AAAAATATGAGATATCGATACCCATTAGACGGGAATTACTAGGCCATCAATTAATTCTTAGGGGAAAAAAGAGAAGGGAGATCATAAGATTTGGATTCTCACGCAAGCTTGATTGCTGGACCGACCATATATTTCGACCATATCTAATTATTATTATCCTTGAGGTCAAGTTTATTGTGAAAGTGAACTTTATAAAAGACTACCCTATAGCCCCTGCCCTAGGAGCTCCATGCTCAATTTTATTTATTTTTTAATTTATCTTGGTTTTAAACTACAAGGGTCCTTTATTGGACTACTTTTTCAATACTATTCATTTCATTGATTAAGTGTCCACTGAATTATTCATATTCAAATTGATATATTTACAGAATTTTATTTTTTTACGAATCTTTTTTAAATTTAAATATTGAATGATAATATTGTGAAATATAAACAATTTTATTTACTAATCTAACTAAATTCTTAAGGTTTTCTATGCACCTAAAAGGATTGGGTATCTAATTTTTTTATTTTTTCTGTTTTTGGCTGAAGAAGTGTTCTTCAAGGCTTTGTTACTTGAGAACTATAAGGAAATAAGAAATCATGAGGTTGTTGAAAAATATAGTAATATTCTATTTTTTTTTTGTTGAAAAATATAGTAATATTCTATTTTTTTTTAAAAAAAAAAAAGAGATGACAAAAGAAAGAAAGAAAAACTTGAAAACTACTTTTTAATTTTTCAGTATTATACCGAGTTTGGAAAACATATTTTAAAGGTTATCAACAAGTTTTTTAGGTAAAAATAATATGAATAAAATATTTTTTTTATTTTATATACAAGTACATTTTAACAATATAAAAGATTATAATTGTTATTTTTTTAATATTTTAAAATCAAGAAGTTGAACATTTAACCATTTTTATCACTAAAAAAGACTTTAACAGCGTAAAAGATAATAATAACAATAATTAATTATTACTACTAGATAATAATACAAATAGTCAACATAATAATAATAACAATAATAACAATAATAATAATAGTAATAATAGTTGTAGTAATTATAATACTAACAACAATAATAATAATTATGATAAAATTATTGATTATTAATAATAATTTTATTAATAGCAATAATAATAGTAATAATAATTATAATGATGATAACGATAATAATAATGGTGTTAGTAATGACGACAGCCACAATAACAAGAATAATAATAATAATTCATCATTTAGTATTATATTTATTATAAATTAAGTTTTATTATTTTTCACTAAGGTATTCTCAATTTAATAATTAAAATAACAAATTTAAAAAATTCACTTAAACTAAAATAAAATATTATTTTAATATATTTTAAAATAACAAACACATTATAAACCAACCATCATCTTATCACCACCAAACAAGCTCTCAAACCAGGAGCTAAACAGCACTTTAGACTCTAAGAAACAAGGATAAAATATAAGAAGTCTGGAAGTCTGAGGCCACGAGCAACAGGATCCGGGAAATCAAGAAGAAAACCAGGATCGGTGGTGGGCCCCCCGGTGCATCAACGGGTTTAACGCTGTCTTTAACCTTTATCGATGGCTAGCTCACCTAACCTATAAAAATGCAAGACAGAGCCATGGAAAGGAGCACAGAGGATTAAACAAAGTGTTAAATCACGATCATAATTACAAATAATTGGGTCATTAGAGGAATAACGAGGTTGTCATCTCCTTGACATGGTGGAGACAACCATCAGACAACTCTGCGATCCTACGAGCTGGACTGTTTGCTGTCTCTTAATTATAAATCCCATGTTGATGATATTGCTGATTAAAGTAGCTTCACGCTAACGGTAATTACAAGCATGTTGTCGTTAATTAATTGTCTTAATCATTAATTATGTACTTTTTTGAATCGTATTGGCGATGATCTTACAGGTCGCTTTACAGATTACTGTGCTGAACGGATTGACAAGATCCTGAGTTTTTGAAGTCTTTTGATTTGTGATTTGCCAGTGGATGGATTTGATTTGAATCCGTAACTGTCATACCCATCAGTGGAATGGAAATGAAGGGATCCTTATCATTTAAATATAGGAATACAGATAGCATGATTTTATTTATATAAAATATATTTATTATTAATATTTAATTAATAAATTTAGAATAATGATAAAGTTTATAAAATAAAAATACTTTGAATAAAAAAATTTAAAATTGATACAATTACAAGATTTTTAATGCATCATAATATTGTTCTTAATCAATATTTATTTAAAATTTGACATTAATTACAGGATTTTTTATTGGTACCTCATGTGGATTACTATTAAAGGTGAGACACTTAGATAATTTGTAATTTGTGATGACTAAGTCTTGAAACAAATATTTAAAATTAAAAAAAATATCTTATCTTCAGGTAATCTTTATATAAACCTTAAACAATTTTAGATTTATCTAATAAAATCTTTAGACTCCTAAAATTATTAAATTTATTATTTTTTATGTATCTATATGTCTTAAGAAACTCAATAATAGTAACATAGCCTTTATTAAACAATCAAGTTCGGTTGAATTTTCTAGATTCTGCTAAAATACTTACAATTTTTTTTCAAAAAAGTATAGGTGCTAAGAAAGCCATTAATAATGACATCAACACTACTCCCTAACCACAACAACACATCAAATGATTTTAGTGTTGTTGTGGGTAGCGAAAATAGACTATTGTTAGTGGCAACAACCGATAGTGGGTAATAAGCTTATTGTCTGCTGCAATTGCCAAAAGAAGAGAAGCAGTATAATTTATGATTTTACTCTAAAATCTTATTTAGGGTTTTTTTAGGTTTAATTTATAAACTTATCCCTCCAACTCATGTTTAATTACATTATAATTGGGGTAGAAACATGGTTGTATCCCTTTCATGTATAAAATCAAGATTTTATATTTTAAAATTAAAAGCCTAAATAAAATTAATTATATAATTAATTTTTCTAACAGGATTAGGATTGGATTAAAAATGTCTAGTTCAACTTTTAGTTTTAGTTTTGTAATATCATAATAGGATTAGGATTTAGTTAAAATGTTTAATTAAATAATAATTAAAAAAATAGTTTTTTTTTAAAGTAAATAGAGTTTTTAAGCCAAAATATTTTTTATTTAATTGTTCCTAGAACAATCTAGGATATTAATATGAATTCTAATATGATTATTTTTCTTATTAAATTTTGAAAAATGTTTTTTCATTGAAAAACTTGTATTGAATAAAATTTTAGAAAATTATCAAAATGAATTTGAATTTAATATTTCTAAATGTTAGAAATATTAATTCAAATTACATATAAAGCCAATAATTAGAGTTAAAGCATGCAATATGTTAATTTATGCATATTTATGTGTTATTATGCATGATGGATGATAATGGATATTAAAGAACAGCGTGGTTGTATTTTTGTGGTTGGATGATTATAATATTAAATAAGGCATATATATATATATAGTACATTTTCTCTATTTTTCTTCTAGTGTTTCAAAATTATATTTTTATCTCATTCCCTCCAAATGTAAATTGAGGTTTTTATTCAATAATATAAATGATATATAATTTAGAAAGAATAGTGTTAAAGGACACAATCATGGCGCTTGCAAAAAACTCATAAAACTTTATAGCAGTTATCTAGGCTTTGACCACCTAATTTCATTTGATAGCTCAAGAAAATTAATTAAGATATGTTCATAATTATCCATTTAAAATGACATGCTAGGGGTATATGTTCATGTATAATTGTTATGTGTGATAAATCAATTATTTCATGAAATGAGATCTAATTAAAAACTGATAATAAATCTCTCATTAATATATCAAGTATATATTAAGAACATGATTTATTTCCTTTTGATTTTACACATATAATATTAGAGTTTTATTCATAGATAACTTGTACTACTCAAGGTTACCACTAATCAAATATGTTAAATGTTATAAAATTGAATTCTACTTAACTAAATTATATTATTTAGATGAGTTACTTATGATCATTTAAGATTAGATGCAGTAGTTAGGTAAAACATATATGAGAAGTTTAGATAAAGAATTGCGACCTAATTGATATAAGAGTCACATAAAGCTGCGATTGATAAGCTATGTTACCTGTCTAATTTAATTTATTTTTATTTATTAAATTATTTAAAATGATATAAAATAAATGGGATCACAACCTATTAGAAGATCTAGACAAGATGTCCTGAATTATGTAATATTTAGGGCCATTAATTTGCAAGAAAATAATGAAAGACCATGTTATGATTAAAGATCTTATTTGAATTTGGTTTTAAATGTGTATGAATGAAAACAATACTCGGTATCTTTACATGAATAGGTTAATAGATTAAAATGAGTAGTAGTATATCCTACATAACATACTTGACGTTAACAAATTGACTTAACCAAACTTCTTGAACTGGTACTGTAATGTGAGAATTATTCTCGGGCAAAATAAAATGGTACATGTTTTTAAAAATCCAATTTCTTTTACCCATGACGAGGATGCTAATGAAGAAGTTAGGAATGCATATCAACGTTATATCATGATAGATTATTAGATATTATACTTGATTTTCAAATATAAATCAATTAATTATTAAATTAATAATAAATTAAATTATTTAATTTATTTAACCTTATTATATTTAGAATTATAATTTATATTTTATTCAACTTATTAGAGAACTTAATGAATTATACGTATAATAATCAATAGTGAGAAACTCAAATGAGATGATTAATTAAGTGTAACATGTGACATCTAGTTTTTAGAATTTTTCACCTATCATTATCATATATAATATCTATATTACTTGAATTTAATAAATTAATTCAGATTTTATAATGTAAATATTATATACGAGTTGATTTTTTTTACAGCCCTAATTTTTAGTACAGAAACTACTAAATTAAGGACAATCAACATCACTGTACAGCCCAAACCAACCAAGGCCTCGTACGGATTCGAATGGATCATATGGGAGGCATGAGAAATGAGTCATTTAGGGCCCATGCACAGGCCTGGAAATCCAATCAAAAAACAAGACAGGACACGTTCCCACCAGATCGTCATCTAGCACGACGACCACTAACCCACAGAGTCTGATTGCTACAGCTTCCTCCTTTCATTTCTTCTCACAAAGCATAAACATAAACGGATCGTCATCTATTTCTGTTTCTGTCTCCATTACAATTCTATATAGCACTAATTCATTGAAAACATGTTCTTGTAATGATGCATTTCCAAATTCCAAATCCAACTCACCATTGAATTGAATCTTGCGTATATAATCATGGGCTCCACCCAGTCCGCACAAGCAGCTCAAGACGACGGAGAAGAAAGCGAAGAAGATAAAGACGACGACGACGAAGAAGAAGAAGAGCTGGAACAGCCTAACGCGAGAGAAATCATTGACAGCAACAATAATTTAGTCAAGAAGGTTCTACAACAGGAGCCAGAGATGCTGCCCTGTTACGCATCAGCATCGCCTCTCTCTCCTCAGCTCTCATCTCTAGGTACCCCCAGGCTCGGCCCTTCTATCAAGGTGTGGGACCCTTACAATGTCCTCGCACCGCCCCCTCCCCCGCCCCCGCCATTGCCTATTTTCTCCTCCTCCACCGATGAAGTTGGCGTTTTGGAGGTGTTTTTGATCAGTCATGGAGAGTGTGAGCTCAATTTGAGGCCTGATTTAGTCGGTGGGAGGTGCCACGTGTCTGCTCTGACTCCCAATGGGCAGCGACAAGCTAGGGCTCTTGCTGTCTTCTTCAACTCTCAAGGGGTCAGCTTCCATTCCGTTTACTCGTCGCCCTTGAATCGTGCTAGATCAATGGCTGTCTCCGTTTGCCAGGTAAATATACAAGATTTTAATTTTCTCTCGGATTGAAAAAAATGTGATTTTATTAGGCAATCTGCTGTTGATGATGGAAGCCTCTTTTAATGATATTTGTTTGCAATTGTGACTTTTATCTCTGCCTTTACCGCACTTATCCATACATTTCAAGCTATCCAAAACTGACTTGCAAAGAGCTAATGCATGGTAATGCATATCAATGTCTGTACGTTATACTTACCGCCAAACAAAGGGTAAATGGTATTGGTAACATTGTATTATGTGAACAAAGAATTCCATGACATCTAGTTAATAGTCATTGAAAGCCGCCTCTAATCGATTGCTTATTCTCGCATGCGATCATTTGTCAATCAAATTCCTTCAAATTTTGGGGAATATTTCTCAGGATTATAGTGAAATGTGTGTGATTTGAGGATCAAGGATGGTGATACACTTGAGAAAAGAAGGGTTAGTGTTGCATGTAATTTGAGTGAGGGATTCAAGCGGACCTGATTCCAAGAGGAATCTGTCATTGATAGAGAAATAGAGGCACTTAATGGTTGAGATTTAAGGCTTTTGGTAGGTGATGAAACTACTGATGATTTTGATATGGGAAAAATACTTAAGGTATGTGCTAATGAAATTCTGGTTAGAAGGATGGATGATGTTCCACCCTTTTAGAGATATTGAAAAGCACTACTCTAACAAGGGTTATATTGAGGAAGTACAAGGATAGAGAAATCCTACACCTCAGAAATTAGAGTTTGGGATAGCTCACAACTCAATGGAATCCTCCCAAGAGTTTTACAAAATCAAGTTAAAAGCTTAACAAGCTCAATTTGCTTTTACTCAACTTCAACTCCCTTTAAATTAATGAAAAAAAAACATATTTATACCTTGAACAAACCTCCAAACTATGAAAATAACGAAACCTACATTTCTACATCTAGACACGAAATTCAAACTAGGTAGCTGCTAGTAGGTGATTAATCTTGAATGTGGCAGATTTTCTACCAAGGCTGCCAGATGTGATTGCTATCCCTAGTTCTAGACGTTGATTTTATTGAAGTATGCAGAAATATGCAAGTGAAAATTAAATCCAGGTAGAGATTTTGGATTTCCTGAAAGCCTGCACACTTGAGTGTAAAGTTGTCATTGCTCCTTCTAGGAAACTCCAATTTGCACAGTGTTTGAAGCGTTGGAAGCCAGACACACGTAGCTTTCTAGTCATGACTGGATTGCCTGGTGTTTTCTGCGGAATAAAAATGTTTTACCTTGAAGTTAATCCTAAAATCTGAGCCTGTTGTGACAATTTTCAGCTGTCCTGAACCTTTTTTAGCATCATTTATCTCATCTTCATTTTCCATGTTAGTTTTTGAATATCAGGAATGCTCCTGCATCAGATTTGGGTATGTAAATGATAAGTTTTTGTTAAAAAAAAAAAGAAAAGAAAAGAAAAGAAAAGAAAAGGAGAGAAAAGAAATGAGAAGTTTTGGTCATTAATGTGTTTGTTCACTTACAATTGTGAAAATTGATCTCATTATTATAATATTATTTATCGGCTTCAAAAATACTAGAAATTTTTCCTTTGCATCTTTTCTTGTGGTGCTCAAATTGCTAACTTTCTATTTATGATATTGGAATCTGAAATTGATAGATTTTAGTTATCAACTGTATTTGTTTGTTTGTGATCAAGGATTATATATCCCCTCATAGTCTGTTTGCATAGATAGGAGCTGCTTTGATATTACTAGGAATATTTTCCTACATCTTGTGCTATACAGTGGAGTGAATTGTCCAGATATAAAAATCTTGCAGGAAATGAATTTTGCCGAGGAACAAATACAATCATCGGATGCACTCATGGATTTGAACATGGGGCTTTGGGAAGGTTGCTCCCTTTCAGATATATATACACCTGAATTTCAGGGCCTGCTTGAAAATCTTCAGCCCGACTTTTGTGCACCATCTGGAGAATCAATTAGGCAAGTGGAATTTAGGATGGTTCAGTTCCTAAATAGGACAGTCCTGGGGATGCCTGAAAAGTTGGGATCAGATTTCTTGTTGCACCATCAACATGAGAGCCATGGGTTTTCTCATGACAGAGATGGGCCTTCTCTACCACCACCTTCAAATTGGGATATGCAGCATATGCTTCATAGGCATCGACAGGGCCTCGCAAGGAAAAAGTCTGGTAAGAGCAGGCTACAATTTGTGACTACTACTGGCAATCACGAGGGTGAAGATGAGATCTCACTTGGGGAAGCCAGCCACCAACACACGATCCATGATTTGAATATCAGGAACTCATCCTCCCCAGTATCTTCATGTGTGGGTGTTTTCACGCATTCAATTCCTATTAAGTGTCTACTCACAGGCATCCTAGGGTGCAGCCCAGTAATGACGCGTAAGATCTGCATAGAAGATTCTTCGGTGACAGTGTTGCAGCATTCATGTAAAACAGGTTGGCAGATTAAACGCTTGAATGATACTGCACATTTGAGACTTCTCTAGGTGGAGAATTATCAACTCCTCAATTGGAGCTATCGATGGGATAATGAGCTGTTAATTTTTTGAGAAGAAGCTGTTATTTTTACTGTTTATGGATGTATTTAGGCTCATGATTTCACTTGTATTGATGCTGCTTCTGCATCCTGTTGTAATTTTGGTATATTTGCTTACAGATTTGCCAACTTACATCAAACAAAAAAAGATTGGTTTGGAAGTTGGCTTTTGTATTGGATGATTCTTTTGATCTATAGCATTTACGAATGTTTTGTGAAGTGACAGATAACTTCTTTTTTCCTTTGACGCTGTGGGAAGAAAGAAAACTAGCTATTTTAGAAGGGAGAATGAGCTTACAATTTTCACTGAATTGTTTCATTCGAGAGGGAACTTTTACTTAAGACATGCCTGCTACATCGTTATTTTGTTCTTGATTAACTAATTCACGCAGTATCTCAAGGTTTAGTCCTTTACTTAATCGGGGCAGAGTTAGTAAGGACCCATCATAGCAACCAAGCAAATATGGCATGTTGTGGATCTGAAGGGCTTTGGCAAGCTAGAAGCAGCCCTTGCCAACCTCATCCACAAAAGCCTTCAGATTCTTATCCGAGGAACCACCGTCTTTGACAGCATCTATGGCTAAATCTCTCCATTTCTTGGCGTTCTTTCTAGTCTTCTCCCGTCTTTCCATCTGCCATGACCAAATCCAAGCTCCTCTTAATCTCATCACCTTCAACTATCCCTTCTTCTTTAGCTACCACCCTCACTCCTGTCTTCCACACGTCTTCAATCAGCTTGGCATTTGTTCCTTGATCCGTCCAGTGTGGAAATGCCACAACTGGAACCCCCGAAACTAAGCTCTCCAAAGTTGAGTTCCACCCACAATGTGTCACAAAACATCCAATCGAAGGATGAGACAAGACCTCCACTTGACAACACCAAGATACCACCATCCCTTGTTTCTCCAATATTGCCTCTCTACAGGCACTCAATTCATCATCTTCTTCTTTCTCTTTCTTCTTTTTCTGTACATCCCTTATAATCCACAGGAATGGAAGACCGCTCCGTACCAACCCCCGAGAGATCTCCTCCATTTGTCGGTTTGATAACACCAAAATGCTTCCAAAAGATACATAAACCACTGATGATTTAGGCTTCGAGTTCAACCATTCAATGTAATCCTCGGAGCCTTGGAAAAGATCCCCTCCGAAGGATTTATCCAGTGGATCTTTTCCATCCAAGAAAGCAGATGGAATCAATGGCCCGATTCCAATCAAGTTGAACTTTTCAGTGGCACTCATAGCCCCCAACTCCAATGCATCGAAAGAGTTGACAAGCACTTTTGGGTTGGTTTCTTGGCTGAGCTGCTCCAGTTGCTCCTGGAACAAGTGGAGTGCCGCAGTATTAGTATTTGAAGGAAGTAAAAACGAGGGAAGGTCACGGCTAGCAAATTGTGGGAGCCCTGGTAATGCAATAATATTAGAAGTGTCCTTGCAATTACTGAAAATATCACCATAACCGTTGAAGTAGTAGAAATAGATGTCAAAGACAGTAGCAGGCTGAATCCAAAGAGACGCTGCTGGGAGATGTTGTGCACGTGCCACCTCCGCTGCTCAAGGTAGAAGTACTGTGTAAACCAAACAAGTGATGGGCTTTCCTTTTTTTGCACTATCTACGATGAGTTCATTGAGAGCTTGTAAGCCTCGACGTTTGAGCTCAGACATGTAATGCACTCTGTCATCTTCAGGCTTGAGCCCATCGTCGTAGCCATCCGAAAAAGTAACAAATGACAAACCATCAGGGAACAGAGTTTTCGACATGCGGCGTTGAGCAGAGAGAGTGGTAGCAAGAGTGACACGAGCACCAATAAGCGTTAGACACTTGGCGAATTGCAGGGAAGGATTTACGTGGCCTTGTAAAGGTAAGGTCACCAGAAGGAAGTGAGGTTGCTTGATCATGGTGACTGGTTCTGTGGCAGAGGACTGGAGTGGAGAGGTCGACGAGGTCGAGGACTTTTCTCGCCAGCTAGGTGGAAATTAGCAGGAAACAACGTTCAAGGAAAGAGTGAG